ACACGTCGTTTTCCAGGGTGTCCATTCGTTTGTGGGATACATTTTGTTGCTGCATCAATCAAAAACGAAGTTAGGTAGTTGACACAGCATCAATGCTTAAAGTACATATGTCGCGCCAACTTAAATCAACGCCTCCTATACTTTGAGATGCCTGGCACGTTGGCCGCTATCCTATTGTTCACCCGCGGCCACTGTGTTTTACCGGACTGCCGCGAGGCGGCGCCAGCTTCTGACACTACGCTCCGCCACAGAATGTCACTACGCTAGTCACTCTGTGGAGTTTCGCAGCGCTCATCTTTGTGAAAATTTTGTCCTTCAAGGTTTGTAGGGCTTAGCAGAGTGAAAATAAAGTCAAGAACGAAAATAAAAAGTAAATCAAGTGGAACTACAATAGCACAATATTTATTCACTGCAGCAAAAGGCCAGCCTAAGCATTCTCTGCCAAGAGCTGGGGTGTGCTGCAGATAACGCAATATCACAGTTTGGTAATAATACGAATAGATATTGCTTCAACATAAAAAAAGAAATAACATCGATGTAAAGCAAGATCAACTGGAGGTTCATACACATAATGGCCAGAAAATTGTAAACAAAAAAAAGGGAACATGTATATATTTTATCACAGGAGTAAGTATCACAGCTATACAAAATAGCAGCAGCCTCGGCTGTTGGGGGCTACATAGCTACACGAGCTATGTAGCCCCCAACAAGTGATATGGCTGCCATATCGGGAGTCGGCAAAAAAGGCTTCGATGACAAGCAAACTTCTCGCAGCACTTGTTGCGCCCTTTTGGCGTTCGCACAGACAGCTGCTGTGCTGCCCCTCACTTCACTTCCACTAACAGCCCAGGAAGAGCAGAAGGAAGTAGAGCTGTTGACGTTGCTTCCGTCGGATGATGCGACTATTCCTGTCTTCAAAATTTTTTCTAGTCCAGAAACAGCACTTCTCACATCCATGACGTCATTGCAGCCGGCAGTCCTTCTTAGAAATCCAAACAATGATTCTATTGGATCGCTTGAGAATTTCCTTGTGAGTACAAACGTGAAGTCGCACTCATTCAGCAGAAACGCTGGCTCGAGGTGCAAAAAGGCACGCAGCAGTACCGCATGGCTGGGCTTCAGCTGCGGTTATTAGATCGAGCTCCGAAGAGGCAATACGCGCGATAAAAAGTAGCACGTGGCACCCTGAGAAAAAAATGACCAACAGCATTAGCGCTCACTCCAAACGAGCTACTGCAAAAACTGCGTGGGCGCTCGCCTGCCGGCAAGGCGCACGATAGTGTCAGAACACAGCCCCGCGGAGCGGCGGTGGCGTGCGTAAACGGGAGAGGGTCGCGCGGAGAGGGTCGCGCCGACGCGCCAGGCATCTCAAAGTACAGGAGGCGTTGCTTAAATGTGTGATAGTATAAAACTGTTCCCAATAGGCTTTGCTTCATAGCCATTTGGGAACCTGTGGCGGGCATTCAGTTGATGTAGGTGTGCTTAAAACTACCGGAAAGTGGTCCCTTCCGTAGGGATTAGTGATGACTTTCCAGTGAAGTAGAGGTACAAGCGATGGAGATACTATGCTTAGGTCTATTGAGGAATAAGTATTGTTAGCGAGGTTATAATAAGTTGGTTCTTTTCGATTCAGAAGACACACACTGGAAGAGAGAAGAAATTGCTCAATCAGTCGACCTCGGGCGTCACAACGAGAGTCGCCCCATAGCCTGCTATGCGCATTCAAGTCTCCAAGGAGAACAAAAGGTTCCGGGAGTTCATCGATTAAGGACTGAAATTCATGTTATTGTAGGTGATAGCTTGGAGGTACGTAAAGAGTGCAAACTGTTACAAGTTTGTCGAAAAGCACAGCTCGAACAGCCACTGCCTCAAGAGATGTTTGGAGTTGAAAGTGTGTGCATGCAATCTCTTGATTCACTATAATGGCAACATCTCCAGATGATGTCATGGCATAATCACGGTCCTTTCAGAAAATAACGTATTTACAAAGAAAGTTGATGTGTTTTGAATTCAGGTGTGTTTCTTGTACACACAGCACTTTTGGTGAGTGTTTGTGTAAAAGTTCTTGGATATCGTCAAGGTTTCAGATAAGGCCCCTGACGTTCCATTGTATAATTTGAGTGTTCATGATGAATGTAAAGTAGTGCTGTGTGTACGAAAAGCCAGTGGCTGTTTAGCCAGGAAGTTTGAATTCAAGTAACAGGGCCATCACCAGGCCCCATTATTTGCTTTTTTTGTTTTCTCGACGCGCTCTAAGGAGCCACGCCGCTCTTTCGGTACTACCAAGGGTACCGACGTATCCATTGCCTCCTCGGAGGCACTGGATGCCCGCACGTGCGAGCTAGTTGTTCGAATTCTGGGCCTCGCCTGGTGAGGTGAGGCCTTGAGACCCGAGGACCCTGGGGTCTCCGGTCTCTGTTCGGGAGTTGGCCGTGTAGTCTGGACTACAGCGGCCTTGGAGGCAGGTGCCACAACCACCGGCTCGCTATGCGCGAGCCGAAGGAGTGACGGGGGCTGGTACGGCAGTGCCCCCTGACGCGCCGCATCAGCATACGTTGGGCCATAAAATGGCGGGACTCTTTCCCTAGATGCCTTAAAAGAAATGTTTTCTTTCATTTTCACCGTTATTATCTCCTTTTCTTTCATCCAGTATGGACAGGAACGTGAATAAGCAGCATGGTTTCAGTCACAGTTTACACAGTGCGGCTGCTCTTTGCAGTTCTCAGACACGTGGCCCAGGGCTCCGCATTGCGCACAGGTCTGGCGATCATGACAGCTTCTAGAGCCATGGCCATACCTCTGACATTGGAAGCAACGACGGGGGCTTGGTATGTATGGCCTGATTGAAGTTTTCGGGTGCCCTGTTTGAATGGTTTCCGGCAATTTACTGGAAGCAAACGTGAGTATCACGTGTTTCGTTGGTGTTACCTTTTTGTCTCTTCTGACCCCGCCGCGGTGGTCTAGTGCCTAAGGTACTCGGTTGCTGACCCGCAGGTCGCGGGTTCGATTCCCGGCTGCGGCGGCTGCATTTCCGATGGAGGCGGTAATGTTGTACGCCCGTGTGCTCAAATTTGGGTGCACGTTAAAGAACCCCAGGTGGTCAAAATTTCCGGAGCCCTCCACTACGGCGTCTCTCATAATGATATGGTGGTTTTGGGACGTTAAACCCCACATATCAATCAACTTTGTCTCTTCTGATGATAATTCTCTGTACATTAGTCACATTTTGGCTCTTCCACCCCTCAAAAAGTTCAGTCTCGGTCAAGTCAAGTAAGTCCATGTCAGATACCACTCCGCGAATTGTGTTCATTGATCTATGTGGTGTTATGATTATTGGTATGCCACCGAAATCTGAGAGACGGTATAGCTTTTCATATTGTTCTTTGTCATGGATTTCGAGGAGAAGGTCTCCGCTAGCCATTTTGGTTACCTTGTATCCTGTGTCAAGAGTTTCGGTAAGACATCTAGCAACTACGAAAGGAGAGACGGTCCTGGCTTGCTTTCCAGTTTTTTCACAGTGGATAACATGAAAGTGAGGAAATGTTTCTATTGGCCTGTTGAAAAAGTTTATGTTATCGGTGCGTACCCGCTTCAAGCCGATACGATAGCTAAGTGCTTTATGCATGCCGGTTTTATTTTTATTCAGCAGCGTTGGCGACCACCCACCATGGAGCCAACAAGGGGACGCTACAAGTTCGTAAATACTAAAAACTTGCCGACGCCAGCCATACGACACTACTATAACCCAATGCGCCTAGACCGAGGTAGGCTATTTGCACAGGGTTAACCCTCGCCGCCAGGAAAATTGGAAGTAAAAGGAAGAAACAACAAGAAGACAGGAAAGGTAAAAAGTGATGGCAAAGACGAAAATGTAGCGAGAGAGGAAGGGATAGGAAAAGGCGACTGCCGATTTCCCCTGGGTGGGTCAGCCCAGGGGTGCAGTCTACGTAAAGCCGGGGCCAAAGGGTTGTGTTGCCTCTGCAGGGGGGCCTTAAAGGTCCGATCACCCAGGGTCGGCTCAACCCCCAGGATCCCCCTTTTCCCCGGACACGGCAAAGCCACGCACAGCTAGGCGTGGAAGGGAGCCGACCCCCCCCCCGGTTAGCTCGGATCCGTGGTGTCGCTACACACCAAACACCTGCTTTCACAGGCGCCCCTGCGGGGCATGTGTATTACTTGTTGTGATTAGTAGGCACATACAATATGCAAAACAGAACTATACCAAAAAAAGCTCAAATGTGTGTTGTATGAAATCAAAAGTAGCTAGACGATTAGAAGCATGTTTACTGTAAGTACGAGCGAACGTTATTGCAAAAGCCCATCTGTCAACTTCGGCAGTGCTCGCACGCAGGAAACAAAGGTGTGCGCTACTGAATCCATGAAGTGAAACAAATAATAGGGGAAGCGATTTTTCACTAAGGCGCTCCTTGATTTTCAAGAGAAGACGTCCTCTTTTAAAACAAGGGTAACCATCACTGTAGGTCAAGACAAATGGAAGAAACACTCACGGTGCTTGGACTGCACTTCTAAGTGTCGCATGCATTTCTTTTTTTCGACTTAACTTCTCGCACAGTTTAGTCTTCTTTCAGTATGATTCAACGAACTGCACCAATCTTAATGCTGTCCATGTGTCTTCCTCTCCTGATATATAGTTCATTATTACAATGACGATCTCTCCACGTGCTCTGCAAAAAAGATAACACCCAGGTGATATTAAACACTCCGCAGAAGTTTAGAGTAAATATGACGTGTTCTTTGCAGCTAAATGTAAAAAGCGTCCAGTCTCAAGCATGACGAGATGACAAAGCAGGAAAGAAAAGTGGCAGGCAAAAAAGGGGAAGGGCCCCCCCTATTTTTTTTAATCGGGCCCTCCGCACTGTTAATCTGGCCCAGACCACACTATGTGCTCGCTTTTCTCATGAATCACGCCCATATTCTAAGGCACCCACATAAGAAAGGGTGGCAGAGGGAGGAAAAACGTTCAAAATTATATTGCTCACCTCTTACAGCAGCTGAAAAAATGGTTTTGGCTTCAATTGAGGATCTGCTTGCATTTCTGCACCGCCTTATTGGTATGTCCAGTATACTGGTCGCTGCAACGGAAAGAGTTATAGCATTACATCAACCACATCACCTCATTTATATAAGCAATATATTTGTGCTCAACTATGGAACTTACAGGAGTAACCAGAATAATGAAAAAAAAATGCTTTGAACACATTCATGAAAGAATGGATCAGAAAAGTGCAACCACACGCTTGCCTTCTATACCATTTTATGAGAATGTGTCATGGAAGGAAGAAGAAGGAAAGGAAAGATAAGGGATGTTAACCAATCTAGGGGGACTGGCATGGTACTATACACAGGGGTAAAAAAGGGGGGGGGGGGGTAGTTTTAAGATGTGAATAAAAGAAAGAGCACACACACATAACCTCACACTTCACACTCATTACAACACACTAAGCTTGTAATCTTCGATGCAAGTCTGTTGCCCAATACTCTAGGCCATAAACAATTTCTGCTAATCGCAAATGTGACAGGGGTGCAACAGCTAAAATAGAATTTGAAGGAATTTCGGGAGCAGCAAAATGCTGCTTTCGGAGCACTAAAATCTAAATTTGGAGCAGGTTACGGGAAAAAAATTTCCTTATCAAACACCAAATTTGCAGCGGCACAAAAAAGAAGGCTTATATTTAAAGTACAAAATAATCAACCCACTTAAATCGTGCATAGTGAACATTGGACACTGCTACTTCAATGAAAGTAGCATTCTGAATTACTTCACTGAACAAACAATGTAGTCCACAGTGCACATTAGCATTTGGTGTACCGGCGGAATCCTTCGACAGACTGCTGCGAATTCAAATGCGGCTCTGCCAAGCTGGCGACCACGAAATTCGGGATATTTGTAAAACCAAGGAGTAGGGATAGCCTAACATAAACTAGCGCACAAGGTGTTCTCTTTTTCCGGGGGCAGCAGAAGTCTAATTAGCTGCTCCAGATGACTGCAAGCAACTCTTTTAGATGCCAGCGATCACATTAGTAATCATAATTATGCAATGCATACACGCATGAGTAATTTAACAAAATGTGCTGCATCCGTGACTAGCGCTAACAGTCACTTTTGAACTACTACAGCATTCCCCAACCCCCACCTCCACTTTTTTACAGCAAAAGCTGTTATGAGATCACAACACGGGTATCGAGCGGCATCGTAGTTGTTCACCGCTGCCGCCAGTGTCCTTAGACAGTATGGCAAGAAATAATAAAAAAATTCGGTGCATAAAGAAAACACGAAAGACACAATGGGATTCAAACCCAGGTCCGCTGCATGCCAGCCCAGTATTCTACCATTGAGCCACGCCGGTGTTCGAAACTTTCTTCTAAACTGGCCTTAGACAGGCTTGATGTCGGGAAAGGAATTTTGTTATTATGAGTAATAAAGTGTTTTAGAACATCAAAGAAACAACCAGGCATCACACAATGCGAATCGCGTAACGATTGGGTCGTCCAATGCTCCAAACCATTAGAAAACTTGGTCTTGACCTTCTATTAACTGTGGCACCCACTCACTTCAAGAACGATTCTTATTCATCGTCAGCTACTGCATAAAAGAATTGCACATAGTTCCTAGCAAGTGTATACACTGATACCACGCTTCTCCGAAGAATGACGAAGGATGGCATAGCGAATGCTGGCCTACTACACAAAAGTTGTGATTATATATGGCTTAGTGGTTACCAAGCAAGTGTGTCTATAGCAGTTACCCAAAGAGTGTTTAAAAAAGGCTCTGAAAGGCTGCTCTTCCAGCTTTCGCTGTGACTGCGCTGCGTGTCTCGCACAGGCCTGGCGTACATTTTCCTTGACGGTGGAGTTAGGTTTGGGGCCCCACTTCTCGACTTGCTTGCAAGGTGCATTCGACCCGATAATGTAACCACGGCGCATGCCTGTTGGCCTGGAAACGAATATCTATCGCCGGAACGACACAACATCAAGCCATAAAAATGATTTATGCGTCTTTGCTAAGGCAACAAGCGTAGTGGCTGGCAACGACGGTGTTCGCGAAAAGTCAACCTTGCCTGCGAACGGACAACGTGGCATACATTTTTAACGTGCCATACCTGCGCTTGCCTGACTAGGAAATTCATATTTCTCGCGAATCGTTGGTGGTAGCGGCAACGCTTCTTTTGAAAGGGGGGGACGGCTTGATGTTTTGTTGACTCGTCGATAGGTATCCGCTATGGTCCGCAGATTGATGAGCGCACGGCGTTGTTACTTCATCGTATACTTTATCTGGTCGATCCCCGTTCGCGAGTATCCTCACATGGCGGGTATATAACTCGCACCATGTTTTAAGGTTAGGGTCTGTCACTTGGTTTGATTGAGGACGCAAAGTGCAGGTGACCAATGTGGCTTCTCCCTAAAAATAATGCACGTGAGATCATTTTAAGGCTGGTCAGAAATTTTGGCACAGCGTGCCGCAATTTCAGCAAATTTTATGGTTTTGGTGCAGTTCAGCACAACGAAGGGGAATTGTATCAAATTGGCGCAATTGGCACATCTGTTGCACCCCTGCATGTATAGATAGACTAGTCATCTATCTATACATCTCATGTGGCATGATCACACTCACAATCAAGTGCTTAATACAGGCTTAAAACAAGGCTGGCAATGTACAAAACTGGGTTAGAATAAGGAAATAAGGTCTAAAACATTAAAATTACCAGAAATAACAAAGCAGTAACTGCAATACTTAACTAAAAATCGCTGAAATATTTAGGAAACAAGCGGCTGACTATGGCACCACGCAAAAAAAGACACACCACCACCACCCTGCCAGGCACGCGATCCCTCCTCCCACCGACGCTTCTGTAGTGCCCTATTAGCACACGCCATTTGGAAGCCACTCCTGGCACGAAAACAACAATGCCATGCAAATCCCAAACTGAAGGATCAGCAAAATGCCACCACTTGACAGGCGTAACAAGCCTAGCGACAACAGCCTGTGCCTCTTCACGTGAAGGTCCAGCGAGCAGCTGCAGAATGCAAGCGGCGAAAACAACACCCCGGCATCATTACAGCTCCGACCGCTGTGGCTCGTCAGCGCAGGCGAGCCGATCCAAAGCTCAGTGCAAAGCAAGCACAACTGGAACGTCCACATCGCCAGACTAATCCAGCTGTGGAGCGTGAGACGGCAAGAAGGCAGCTGCTGCACAATGTCAATAGCGTCAGAACTACCCAACCGCCCATCCAGTGTGCAAGAGCACAACCATAGCTTATTAGCATCGAATCGTCATTACCGTACAGCATGTAACATAAAAACCGCAGAATACCATAATACCCACAGTGCAATAACAGCAATTTTAGCGCCAATAACAATAGCAAGAAAGCGATAACCATGGCATAATGGAAACTGCTGGGTGCCCGTGCTTCGCACTTCTTTGGGTTTCAGGATTGTGCCACAATTATTATTTTTTTTTTCAGAATAAACAACACGCATTTTTTGCCTGTAAACATATTCAGTAAGCTGGGCTCATAGGACACAGTTGCACACAGCTAGCAAAATATATTGCTTACTGTGCTTATTTACCGTGCCAAAACAACGCAAACTTTCATCGTGTTGGGTAGAAATGTGCTCTACATGAGAAGGAATCAATGTCCTGATATTTTGCTTTAAATCAACCTTTTTCAACCATTGCAAGACAAAACTGGCTATTTGGGCCACGTTTTGCGCATTTAGGGCCCAATCACACACAGACTTGTCCAAATTTTTCTCAACTGGATTCACTCAAGCAGAGATTCACAAAAGTTTTTCTCAAGTCTACTCACTAGGACTGCCACTCGTGAAAACACTGCTTACTCGGACTCACTCAGACTCGCCACTTGATCCAAGTCTGAATCGGGGGCGGATCCAGCCACTCATACTAGGGGGGGGGGGGGGGGGGGGGGGCACTCAGCTAAAGTAACACCGAAAAAGGGGAACTTAAACTTTTTTGTTTTTTCTATTAGAAAAACCCATTCATAGCACAAATACTGTTAATGTGTGGTCACAGTGGATTCACTTATTTGTCCTAATTGGTGATAAGAGGTGGACTACAAGCAGTGAATCTCAACCTACGATTTTAGCAGATTTGCAACCACTTTTTCATAAGCATTCTGTCTATGCTTCGCTTTTTGATTGTTAGTTTGTCCATTGCAAGTGGAATGTGTATTTTGGTTTTCAATAAAATGCCAAAATGAAAGCTAATGCCTGCCCTTGTCTGCTCATTTATCCGTACCCCTAGATTACAAATTTCACTAGACATCATTGATTTTATGGTTCTAAGTAACAATCAAACATTGTGTTTCCAGTACTGATGTGCTTTCCCTGCGTCCCGAAATTCAAACCACAACAGCATGCACCTTTATTTGTGTATACAACCAATGCCAAGAACAAGAAATTAAGTGCATTGAACATGTTGTGAAGAAGATGATGCGCCTCCATCGAGTAGCATCGCCAATGCTCAGCTCGTGCTTCAGATCGTTCCTGTTGTGCCTCTGGAAGGTTTTTTACGCTGTCACACCGCTCATGACTATAACGTCCTTAGACAAGAAGTAAACCTCTTCATGCTTGGTGGAGGGTGCTGTTCATCCCCATCCCTACACCCTGGAGCTGCGAAGCCGCATGCTTCCCCCCACCATGACTGACAACACCAACCCAGCGACGCATTCGCCCAAGTTTGTCACCTGCCCCGCACATCCTCAGCTGCGCGACCCAAAGGTCTTCAGCGATGCAGATAAGACGGACATGGAAGACTGGTTCGACCACTACAAACTGGTGAGCGTGAATAACAGATGGGGTGACCCCGAAAAGCTGGGCCACATCATATTTTATCTCACTGGTGTCGCCAAATTGTGGCTAACAAACACAACATTCTCACCAGGAGCATCTTCATTGATTGATATGTGGGGTTTAACGTCCCAAAACCACCGTATGATTATGAAAGACGCCGTAGTGGAGGGCTCCGGAAATTTCGACCGCGTGGGGTTCTTTAACGTGCATCCAAATCTGAGCACACGGGTCTACAACATTTCCGCCTCCATCAGAAATGCAGCCGCCGCAGCCGGGATTTGATCCAGCAACCTGCGGGTCAGCAGCCAAGTACCTTAGCCACTAGACCACCGTGACGAGGCATGGAGCGTCTTCAAGACATCCTCCTCCAAAGTGTTCAGTCGGCCGGCTGTTTGCAAGCAGCGTATAGAACGGCGCTTGCGCGTTTGCTCACAGCAGGCGGGAAAAAGCTTCCCAAGCTACATTGAGGACGTCGTCGCCCTTTGTAAATTGTATACGTGCCAACGACATTGTGTGGGAAGCTGACAAGTTCAAGCGAATCCTGAAGGGCACTGACGACGGCGCATTCCAAATGCTCTTGGCTAGAAATCGGAGCACCATTCCAGAAATTGTTGGCTTGTGTCAAAGCTACGACGAGCTCAAAAAGCCACGTGCCCCGATTCGGCAGCCTCCGTGGCGTGGCGAGTCACTGTCCAGGCTTGACACAATCCATGACCATTCCATGTTATTTGTATTAAACAAACTATAAACCTTTACACAGAATATATATACTGTACAAAAGCAGCTTATTATCATTATAATATTAACAGCAACCTGTGCGCATTTATCACAATAACAGCCGGAAGAAGGTATGCTCTCTGGTAGAAGAAGAAAGCCTGGTCACTTACGACTTGCACACACATCGGTTTCATCATCCTCAGTGCACTTATTAGGCTAGAACAAGAATAAAGCAATGCTGCTGCAAGGTCGATGTTACCTCTTGGCTCGTTAACTAACAGTAGCTGGTTGGACTATGTGCATATGTGCTTTTGGGCACTCTAATTTTGCAGTCACCCTAGCGCCAGTACAGAAGCAGCTCACAGTGCACGAATCTGGCACACATGCGCGACACCGGCTGAGAAGCGTGACCAACAATATTATGTAAAGATATGTGTACTAAAACCAAGATATGATTATGAAAGGCACCGCAATGATGAACTCCGAAAATTTTGACCATCTGGTGTTCCGTAACGTGCACTGACACGGACCTTTACCATTTCACCTCCATCGAAATGAGAACGCGATGGCTGGGATCGACCCCATGACCTTCGGTTCGGCAGCCAAGCACCCTAGCCACTGATCCACTGAGGTGGACAGAAGTGTGACTGGGCAAGAACAATGCACCAGGAAAGTAGTCTTGATGGTGGCGTTGTATTTGATCCTCTACGTTTCTGGATAGGAAAAAAATAGTCACTGCCAGCTCTGACATACGCAGCTGAAAGTGTTAACTACTCGCTCTAGCATTCAAATATTGATCTTGCACTCATAACACACAATGCTACAAATTATTTACTACCTGTATGGTGCAAAGGCATCATCCTGACTGCAAGAATTTTGTTTATGATTGCTACAGGCATGCTCGAAAACTCCCTTCAATCAATTCAAGTAATGGATATCACTGCCCAAGATCGAGCTGTTAAAGTTACGTCGTTTCAGCACTCTTTTTCACCAAGAGTGATAGTAACACAATGGTAATGGCGTCAAGGGTTGTCGCACTGTTTGTTGCAATCGCAGCCGATTAGTTTTCAGGATCGGGTTCCTGTGTTTCAAAATATAAAACATGCTTACTCATCAGGAAACTGTTGCATCAGAGATGCAGGTCAAGTTATCTGGTTCGTACGTCACGTTGCACCTGTCTGGCTTGCATTTTACCAGTGGCACGTAAGGTGAGACGAAAAAGCCAGCCCCACTTCTTGAAGTATGTCACCGACGTCTTGCTCCTCCATTTCCTCGAGCATTGTAAAGCCTCTTCACTCGTCTTAATGTCCCGACCTTTCTTTTTTTACGCATATGTGTTCCCCTATTTTTTCTGTCCTTCAGGTTCAAATTAACTTGGACCCCTGCATATAAAGAGACCAACAACTGGTCAGAAAGTGCAATTAGATGCTAGTATAAATCAAAAGATCAAGAAATATAGTCACAAATTTTATTATTATTTTTGCATTTTAAGTAGGATTTATATTTTGAAATCGTACTTAAAAGTTACAAAAACCCCCATGTCGCACAGCCTAGCGGAAGAGAACTGAAGCTAGACTATCAAATATGGAGTCTATCCTTTTGCTGTACGTAGTTGCATAGACTGATGCTGTCATGTGTGCCAGCCGTCAAAATTAATGTATATTGTTACACAGCGCCGCTCAATTCTGTGCTGCTTACGACGTAAAAGGAGTAGCACGGTGAAACGCGGTGCTGCCTTCGGACCCTCCTGTGGACCAAATCGAGCCGTGGCACATGCGCGCGGAGTGCCCACATGTTCAGTAAACCCCCGTGCGTTCACTGTTTGCAGCATGCGAGTACGCGACTTAATATTCGCTGCAGATTTAAAACCTGATTACAAATGTTTCCATGGTTACAAATCTCTGTGGTTAGACTGACTTACCCGAAACCTTTCTTTTCTGCTAAAAAGAATCCCACCATAAAAATTGCTTGTTGAACCCTTCAAAGTTGTGCTGTAAGACACTGGTATCAATGGGTGATTTTCTAGATTTACATTACCAGTGATACAAGTGAAATCACCCCATAGTTAAGAGCCTAGCATTGGCACGATGGACCGTTTTCATAATTCTCAAGTGTGGTTCTCTGCACAGCATATTTGCCCAAGTAATGGTGGGTCGTGCTTAAGCGGAGACTCGTTCCTAGCTGGACGTGCTCGGGCTTGTCTGTTAGGAGTGTATGTCAAGAGTGCTGGCTCTACACTTCCCCTATCATTGTATAAGCTAACCCCACTTGAACAGGCTATTTACAGTAAGTGACTAGACGCCATTAGTTGTTCAAACTGTGTAGCAGGAAAGTTAACCTTACAATTTTGAAAAAGGTTCATTGAGACTGTGAGGGTTTTGGGCTCAAACTCCTCCATTTCTTTTTTTTTTTGCACTTGCTATATATAGACACGTATGTAACACGAACACGGTGAAAGCACACGCATGCTACTCCCACCATACACACTGGCTACGTCCCAGCTTAATTTCAAATAGCACTCACTGCTAAACAAATAACACAAGACATCTATGTAAAAAACAGCGCCTGATTGCCTTGAGCAATCAAAATGATATTGCATAGTTTTTCAACTCTTGCAATGGTTGTAGTTTCTTTCCATTCCAAATAAAAAAATGTTGAAGTTTGAAATTAAATACGAGCAGAGAAATTAACAAAAATATTAACCACATGGTATAACTATCAGTTAAAGCACACGAAAACAGACAGGAAGAGAGGACAAGCGCTTTCTCGCAACTAAACTGTATTAGAAAGGGCAGAATATATATACAGGCAAATGAAAAACATGACCTATGCATGTGCAAACAAAAAAGTACATCCGCGGCACATCGAGAACACATGGTAAAAGAAGACAGATTATCTCGGAACATAATCTAGAAAAACAAACTTTTTATCGTGCAGCAAAACCGAAGGCTGGCTGACGCATTGTTCCCCTCTTTTTCTTATGTGAAAAGCTTCTGTCAACTCACGAGTTAACTTATTTTGAGACCGAAAAACCACTTCAGTATCCTGAAAAAGAGGATAACAACCGCACTCTCTGCAATGAGCCACGAGATGCGATGCACCCAAAGATTTCAAGGAAGAATCGTGCTCTCTGAGACGAACATTGACGCATCTTCCCGACTGACCGATATACACTTTACCACAGCTAAAAGGAGTCATGTAAACAACGACCATTGCGCAGTCCACGAACTTTTTGCTGTGTTTCATGCGACATTGCGGAAACTCTCTGCGCATGCGTGAACAAATAGACTGTACTTTGCCTTTGGCTGAGAAAAGCACATCGACTTTATATCTGTTAGCTAGTTGCTTGAGTTCATGTGAAGTCTTATGAAGGTAAGGAATCACTGATATCCTCCTACCTTTTCTACTCTCTTCACGACGCCCCGAGTGGTTCCCTTCAAATTTAAGTTTCTTAATCATGTTGTTACAAACGGACGTGATGACATCATTAGGATACCCTGCTTGTACTAGTTTCTTTACTTGACTATGAAAGCTCAATTTCATTCTGTGTTGACAGGACTTTTTTAGAGCAAAACCCAAACTCGTAGTAACGATACCTCTCTTCACCAGCTTAGAGTGGCTCGACCTGTAATTGAGTATAGACTTTACGGATCTGGGACAATAATACCAGCAAACATGCTGGGGTTCGAAGACCAAGTTAAGATCTAGAAATTCTTTCTAATAAACAGTTTAGTTGCGAGAAAGCGCTTGTCCTCTCTTCCTGTCTGTTTTCGTGCGCTTTAACTAATAGTTATACCATGCATATCCAACTAGCCCAACTTTCCATTCTGTTGCAATTAACCACATCGCAGCAGCATCAAACAATGCTCGAAATGCACAGACCCGCTCACAGACGCACTCACCAATGCTCGTGCCATACGGACGAACTTGCACCGTTTTGTAGTTGCCCAAGCAGCCAGCACTCGAAGAACGATGTGTCTGCATTTCCGCATGAACAGCCCCCTAAAAATAACAATGACATAGTGAAGCATCCCATCACGGGCGCCCAAATTGTAAGGGAACTCTGTCACCACTGTTAAGCGCGAGTGCGATAAGGTTTTCATGGGTTACGTACCTTCGTGTCACTATTGGTGCAGGTACCACTTGCAGAAGGTCTCTTTCCGGATTCTACGCAATCAGTCTGAAAATATTGCAACTCCTTATGAGGCCTGCATACATGGATTTCATCATAGACGTGCACACGGGAGGGGGGGGGGGAGCAACTGTTTTCTCTAGTCACTTAAGAGGAAGGGGGCGAATTCAGCCCCACATATTGACATAATAGGGAGGAGGAGGCGCTGCGACGAACCTTCACCCTGCTCCACCCCCCTTTGGGGGGAACCCTGCGCACGCCTATGAATGTCGTAGATACACTCTTGCAGCTTCCTTTATCAAGAGGAGCAAAATGTCGAACTCACCGCATCGTCGTCCCGCTGACGTCGTTGCAGGTCGTTGGACACCGACAACTTGTGCAGGGTGTCGGGCTGACTCTCGGACTCGGGAAATACCGACGGAACGGCGCTGGGGCGCAAGTGCAGCGAGCACACACGCAGATTTGTTGTCTGTTTAGCCCGCTGGCACGGCACTCAGCCACTTGGAGCATACAGGTTCATTGTGCGGCAACCAGTGAAAAGCCACATCGGTTGGTTTGCTACAGTAGTGGCGGCGTGCCCCATAGGGGCATCCGGCAACATCACATGCACGCGGCATTTTGTCGAACTTATCCTTCAAAAGCGACTTTCGTGAATGTGTGTGCAAAACACACGCAGCAGTACGCGATACCGACAGTGACTGGGAGCAGAGAACAGCACCAAGTGGTAAGTGTTCTCTGGCAGCACAGATGACTCGGAAGCGACCACGTGAGCGATGTTTACTATGTCACTCTATGAGCGAAGCGCATGCTAACTTCTTCCCACGCCCCCGGAAATTCAAGGGTCGTGGAGTGGGCCCACGATCTCCATTTTAGACGTCGTTCTACATTGACCATACACTATGACACAAATTTACATCAGTTTGCAGAGCATGCACTGAACAATTTACTCGCTTCAGTATGCACCAAGGAGGTTTCGCACTAAAATTCAGCCGCGACCTGGCGCTGCGGTGCTCCGTTCTGGCGCCATTTTTCAAGTTTTTACGCAGCAGACGATTCAAAACTGTGCGGTGTTTATGTGATGGATGTTGTGTGGTCTTTCCTAACCTTCACTGTTCTCCTGCGTTGCGTTTACATTACTGCAGCGTTGTAAGTTTCCTCAACTACGGCGTGGACTTAAGAAACCGCCCAGGCAAAACCTTGTTGCTCGTCGAATTGCATCAAATCAACGACGATCAACAGCGAGGTTTACGGTTGCTCCTACCGCGCCAACAACACGCTCAACAACGAAACGTTTCGATGGGTATGCTTCCACGTGGTGCCGAAAGTCAAACTAGGACTGTTTGCGAAGACAACGGGGCTGTCGTCAGGGCGTGGAGCTATGTGGTTCAGCAGAGGTCGCAAAGACCCGGACGAATCGGCGTACGGAGTTTAGCGGGACGCACTGCTCTAACGCGTGAGCACGCCTCACCGAGGTGAGCTATGCACGTGCAGTGCGCGTACACTTCTTCGTCAGCTTTAATCAGTCGCCATGGCAGCAGCGGCTTCTTGCCTGTTTGTGTCGGACCCGCACAGTGACGGCAAGATAAATCAGTGTTTAGCTTACGCGATTATAGATACTACAAGCACGACCTCAGGCGCGAAAATCAAAAGAATACACACCGGTAACTTGGCTACCGGTGTAGAGAGGAGAGATAAGAAAGTGCAATGGGCTGGGTGCCAAATCGGTAATCGATTACTTGCCCTGGCGCTAACTTTACGGATAGCCAGAAAAAGAAAAACACCACGTCACTGACGTGCGGTACATTGTGTACGCACAGTTTACCTTTGCGACGACTGCAACGAACTCTACCCGTAGTTGCGTCACGAGACCAGTGTTGAAGTAATTTTTTTCTTATATTTATTTGAAAAAAAAAAAGAACCCGAAGGCCGTCATGATGATGCAAGCAAATGAAGTGAAACAATGTACCAAAATTTTCTCACAAACAAACAAACATGAAACAGCAACTGTCCACCAAAAAATCACCTCAGATGACAAGAACAAGAAAATTAACATACCGTGAATACGTGGCAGTTGTACACGAAGGTCATGAAATTTGCTAAGACTGCGTGCCATAGCCTCAGAAAATTTGTGGCTCATATGAGTCTCCTAGGAATAGTGGATCTTGCATTGCTCTTGGGTCACAATGTTTGTCCTATGAACCAGAGAGCCGATGATCGAGTGCACGGTGTACACTAGGACAAGAGCCAACATTTTTTCATTATCGAAGTAGCCGGTGGATATATTTTTTGTAAAGAAAGTATGTTATGAAAGAAAATAGATAAAAAAGTATTTTACCTACATTTCTACACTGATGTTACACTAAATATCTACTTCAAACAATTCATTACTTATAAACCAGTTTCACAGCATTGGTGATCATGTCACCACATGTGAAGAAACGACAAATTGGTGTTTTTACGTTACCCACTCCTTCTCAGTAAATTGCATGTATTAACAACCAGCGATGTCACAGAACACCTACCAGTGTAGAACACCAATTGTGTGCTGCACCTAACTTTTTTGTCATGCTCTGCGGGTAATGCCACATTAACCGAATGAATTACCATACATGCATAGGGCTGGAACAGCTGTGCCATTTCACACCAAACTTATTCACTTGCACCGTCCTGTGCCCCTGTTGTGCCAAACTTGTTTATCAGCCGGGTACTGTGCTGTAGCACCTGAATTTAGCTGAAAAGTGCGACAGCTGTCAAACCCTGCACCTGGAAACGTGGCTGCAACATCATGCTTTACGTTTCATCGCCGGTGCATGTGTATGAGTATTTCGGAGCCGGCAACATCAACGGGAATGACTATATCTCTATTTTATTTACCCATATGGTCTCGTCAGACTTGGCATAGTGGTGTATCACGGTAGTAGTAGTAGCTTCAGCGGACAGCTTGAAGACCAGCCTATACACCAGGTGCATCAAGAAGAAATGCCATTGCCATACTGCTCTGCTCGACCATAGCCACTGCACGACTGGGAGTGTAGAGGCCCCTTGTCTATCAAAACTGCACGCAACTTTCAAGTGCAGATCACTTTAAGGGTCTGGCTTCTCGTTCATGCACTGTCTCATTACGCACAGTAATGTTATTAAAACAAGCTAACAATGCTGAAAATCAGTGCAAAATACACATTTCAAAGTTTAAGGTAATGTAAACTGCAAAAATAACCAACATTTAATCACAGTAATTTGCCTAAAATAGTGGAAGATGTTTCTGAACAATCCGGTTGACATCCATGCTGCACAAGTGGAGGAGCCACCGCCTTAGCCAGCGCGCAATGGCCAAAGGGCTGGCAAGCATGTAGTCGCCTACGCTGCACACTTTGTATTTCTTGATAATAGAGCTGCATTAAGAGCAAGATTTAAAACTACACTAAGACCTGCACAATAACGACATTATTGGCGAATACAGAACTACAAAGGAACTACATTAGAGCTGCATTAACAGCAAAAACTAAAAAAAAAGCTTACACTATAAGAAGTGAAGGAATGCCAAAAAAAGAAATGGTTCAACGTGAGTGTTTGGGCGAGTTGATGGTTCCTCACTGAAAAAATTGCAAAAACACAAAAGAACGACATGGACAGCACTTATATATGCATGTTTTTGCCGGCTCTATTGAAATTTTTTTGACAAAAATTATGTTTTGCCATACAAAAGTTGCCTTCTGTGCTGATCAGCCCTTTCACATCACACACGATTTTGCACTTGGAGCCAACAGAGATCTAAGCTATGTAAAGAGCTCGTAAATAAAAGTATTTGTATCCGGCTATAATGACTTCTTTTTCCAACACCATTGCTTCCTTCGCTCCTTCACTATCTTCAGCCTTGGTGGCCACCTGAAGGGAAAGTGTAACTTTAGGCATTAGATTGGCTTTTAGCTATTGTCTAATCAATCTTGTATATTGTGTGTTTTATATAATTAGGTGAAAAGCAAAGAATGATTGCCACTTAATAAAGCAGCACTTTGTCTATCTCCAAGTATTCCTGCCTTCACGAAAAACTTTCAGCTTCAGTATGTTACTATCTAGTGGCCTGGTTAGTGTAAGTTTCTTTTCTTACTCTTTACCTTCCCATGGAAAAGCATGGTTCAGGCATTCAATTGTGGCCTGTGTTGCTCATGAGATTAGCACTCCCTTATTTTAAAACAGAAGCTTCACAGAATGGTACTCTGAAACTGGTAAGCTGTACCTGAGAGCTCGTCAATTGTAGGGCTGCCTCGCGGTGATCGTGGATGGAATCTTATAGTTCGCGTGGGACTGGAAAATGAGCAAATGTCTCCGTTATAAGAAAGATCTGGCCTGAATATTTATTTATTTATTGACGATAACCTCAGGGAATATTTTCATCGATTATAGAGGGGTGGCATGTTGATACAGTTCAAGAGCAAAACAAATACAGGATTATTTGTAATGAACTACAGTGTACGAAATGTCGTTTTAAAACAAAAATAAAGAAGCTAAAAATTATTATTGCATTATGCTAGCTCACAGTTAAGTGAAACAAAATTTAAGGCTTGCCAAAGTGGAGGGTTCTTGGGTCAAATGGGACCAATTCTGCGCGCGAAGGTATTCTGGAGGCGACAGGGAAATGTCTTGATGCGCACACCCATTTGTGTTTTAAATCTTTATTTTTGTCGGCACAGCACCTTCGGTTTTCGACCTTCACCATTAAACGACTTGTACAAGATAGAATTCACTGACAGCTACCTACTGTCATTATTAAAAAAAAATGTTTCTAGCAACTCGATGACCCTTATCTACAGCACATGTTCAATTTTCTCGATGACAATGCTTGCCAGTGGCTTAGCCTATGATGATGATCTTGGAATAACGCAGATGCAAGACTAATTAAAAAGGGCAAAAGTGGGCAGCTGACACCCCCAATATTTCCTCCAGCAACCAGTGTTATAACCAGCCTTCACTCATGCCCCCATTTGAATGAAAGAAGTTCTTCCCTCCCAGTAGACATAACTTAGTGGCATACTTAACAAACAGCACTGCTTGATGACATCTTGGTGTTTACTTAATTAAAAAAGAGAGGTTAACTTCTTCCATATTGTGTGCCAAAAATATGATATGGTTGAGATTGCACAATGTAGTAAAGGTGGTCCAATTAATTTTTACAAATTGTAGCTGCCAAGGAGAGTGACCAAACCTGTGTCCTTGTGTTAATTTTACTTTCTCATTTTAGTTGTTTCATCCTAAGAATCGACATAGAACTAAGAAGTTAACTCCAGTTAAAACTCAATTTTACGAAACCCGTTTTTATGAATTCCCGAATTTAGTGATTAAGTTCAGATTTCTCCCGCCATTGCCCACAGGCTTAATGCCTTTACGAATTCGAAATAATGAAACAAAATTTGCCATTAAACCCACTTTAACAAAGCATTCCTTGAGAAAAGATGCATGAAAATGAAGTTTTTCCAAATTGAAGGCGTTTAGAATGTCTGGCAGTGTGCCCCCAGCGTAAGAGAGGTATAAAAGACACAGCAGAATTTTCGCTTTGGTTCTTACAAAACTACACACCAAAACTGCTTGGAATGACACTCTAAACCACACTAAGATAGACTCGTCGAGTTTCTGGGGCAGTTTGCTGGGGTATACGAGGGTAACAAGGACGCTTTGATTTTACTGGCCAGCTACGAGAATCATGTGCTCCCACTGCTAACAAAGCGCGTGAATGCAAAAATCACAAGCTCTTTCGCTAGAGTCTTGTCGATCTCCCCAACAGAATTGGTCGTTCTCTCGACTTTGCGAAGTTCCCGATTCAATGAAGCAATTCACAGGTCCTGGTGACTTAATTAGATCGAGGTTAAACTGCATCTTGTTAATGGTGTTGTTGTGAAACATATGTTTATTAACCATTTGGCTGTTTTGCACATTTAGAAAAATAGTTTCATTGATATCGCCTCTTGTTTACTAAACTACGCTTTTTGAGATCTCAAAACCACAATATGATAAGAATGTGTGGAAGAGAAGTTATTATTCAGTGCATACATATATTCAATTCCCGTGCTTAGATAAAACTGCACAATACACAAGAATGAAAGTTTGCAAAGACATGCTTAAGCATGCCTTTCCAAACCAAAGGCTCTTTGAACATTTCTATCTACTTATCTATCCAGCTGCCTAAGTACGGATTCTCTCGTGATTGATGTCTACACCTCCTTAACGTGGTGTAGATCTGAACTGGCATGGGAGGGTAAGAGGGTTGGATGAATATGACTGCCTGGTGGTCATGATATCAATAACCTGGAAGTCTTTTCATGTACGCCATCACACATACCCTTTCCTCCAGAGATGTGTGGCACAGTTTATATCTGCCATGGAACAGCGAGAACAGACATTGATAATTTAAATGCAGTAGCGGTTAAAAAAAAAAACAGCTTACATTGGCAGTATTGGCCCAACGAAACCAAAGAATAAAAATTAATGTTCCAGCAGGAACCGAACTTAAGCACTCTACATGGCAGTCAAGTATTCTACCACAGAGCCATGCCGAGTCATGGAGCTGCTTTAGAAAAAGACGCTATGCAGGCGTAATGCTGGTGCAACTGCAATTATGGTTTCATTGCTGGTTATCTGATTTTATAAGAAAGCAATAAACATATGTGTCATGCCAGGTCAACATCAGTTGTGGTTTCAGGGTCGGCCGCAATTTTAAGGCAGTCTAATGAACACTATGTTTGTACCTCAGTAATTCACAACCTATCAGCAAGCTCTAGTCAAGCATTGCTTGACCTAAATAGACTAAAAAAAAATTGCGAATGATATTCACATTGTGACACCGTTAAGTGAACATCGTTTGTATAATAGTGACGTGTGTGCTCTGGCGTGAGTGATGACGTTATGGCTTACTATTTAAGTTGCGCTTTACACGCCAGTGTAGTTGATGTTTCTATGGTAAGCCCACGATCGATGTGCGTACAACTCTTCCGACAAAAACATATCGATCCACCTTGTAACGCTTTGCTCAAGGCCAAAAAGTGTGGCATAGGCAATTACCTGACTGCTTCACCTGAAACCGATTCCTGCAAGGAATCTGCCAAATCATTATATCTGTTGTGTGTACATGTACAACACAACAATTGGGCTTTTTTATCAACACACCAATCATCCCTGCTGCATAGTAAGGTTATCTCTGCAAACTAGTCGCGAAAGCCTGCGGCTGAAATCGCGGCCTCCAACATTCGGGGGCCTGCACGTCCCAGGCAGGAACAAAACAAAATCGAACGCAAGTAGCTCATGTGCGGGATAAGTACACCCGTTTATTGAAACATTTGCGAGACGTAGAAATGACGGAATGTGAACGCACTTCGCGAACAGAAAGACATGATCCTATGAATGATCGTGGGACAATAAATATGCGCACAATTCAGGAATGTTCAGGACGCGGGCGCCGCGCCTTCTTTCTACTTTTGCGCCTCCTTGTTAGACTCCTCTGACGCCGCTTCGATCGGCTTGGACGATTCTACCGTGATCGGGATCATCCTCGGCTTCTTGCTCGGAACCTCCGGCTTGGGAGCCTCGATGGCCAGCACGCCCGAAGACGACAGGGCGCAGGTGACCGTCTCTGCCTTCACTCCTTCGGGGAGGGTGAACCGCCGGGTGAACTCTCGCTTCACGTGTCTGCTACCGTCCTCGCTGTCTTCTTCGTGCTTGGCGCTCACCTCGACGCAGTCGCCGATCGTCCTGACGGAGATCTCCTCGGGTTTGTAGCCGCGCACGTTGCAGTTCACGACAAACTTAGACTCGTCGTCCGAGGATGAATCGGCGCTTCGCGACGACACGTCGTCGCTGCAGTGACGCTTGCGACGGCAGCTCAGCGGCGATGCACCGCGTAGACAAACGCAGCTTGGACTGCGATCCAGCGACACCTGCTTCGTTTTGTTGTCCGCTTGACGCACTGCCGAAATCACGGAGTCGCTCAGTTGGTCCAGGGCCTTGAGAGGAGAGAACAAGTCTTCCTCGTTGTTGAAAAGCGGGTAAAAGACCAAACGCACCATGACGGAAATTCGCAGAGCGACTTCGTAGAAGTTCAAAAGAAGGGAATGCACTGAGAGCGAAGTTGAACCAACGAACACGATCACCTTGCTCGAACGTTTCACAGCAGTTGGGATCTGTCTGCAGCGGAGCAGACGACGCCGCTATTTATACGCGCGTACGCCTTTGCACGGAAAGAACGCGAACCTTCGAGATTGCCAGAAAGGAGGAGATTTACGTCATCGCCCCGCCTACAGCATACTTACGGCCTCTTTCTCATCGCAGCGCGATCACGTTGGTTCTCGAAAGTTCTCGCGCCTTCTCGGTGGACATGCCGATCTCTCAACGTTTCCTCCGTGAACGTCGGCATATCAGCACCTGACGGCTGGGTCGGTACGGCGTGCGAATCGTACTGAAAAGCTTACGTAGGTTTGCGTAGATTTGGATACAACGCTCTGCAGAGTAACTTTGACGCTGGGACACATTATTAAAATTCAATTCTCTGTTCCGGTTTCCCGCTGGAGCAATCTGGACAAAGCTTTCGCTGTTCTGTGGCGTGGCGATTTGGGCTAGTTGCTATGACATGACGATTGTTTCAGCGCGAGTACAGAACGATGACAAAAGGACAAGAATAAGACGAGCGCTAAGACGAGTAGCGCTCGTAATTTTCTGTCGCCGTTCTGTTCTCGCGCTATAACAATCGTTTCACTTATTTGTCACACACAGACACTCCAGCAGTATTCCATTGTATTCCAGCTTCTTATGTAGCACATAAAACACCCAGGAACTTTCTCGTGACCTCCGCCGAAAGATAACGCACCAATTCTTTAAAGGTCCGAATCCTGGACTAGCTACACACTCCAACGTTCTGCACAGCGCATACGTTGCACTGTGGCCGTCCTCGTGTTTTCGGGTAATTCGCACAATAAATGCACATGCTTCAGTTTCAGCATTAAACGGGACACCCAACAGTGTCACTAAGACTTCAATAAGCAGCTGTATCACACATTTGTGCCTTAAACAAGACGAAACGGCTTCCATTTTTGTGTGTTTGACTTTTGACCCGAAAGCAGCAGCAGACGACACGAGAGCTTTCTCGGAGCTTCTCAAGGCTGCCGACCAATCGCAGAGCGGCTAGGTTGGTGACGTTGGCCCGCTTTGCTCCTATTGGTTGTTGCGGCTCGCGAAGCTTCTCAGAGTTTCTGGAAAAGTGCGCGAACGGTATAAATCGCGCGCCGAGCAAGCGTCGGGTAGACTTGTGACTTGATCACTTGAATACGTGAGCGAAAGTTCTGCGAAGAACGCATACCACACAACGCACTCATCATGCCTAGCCGCATGCAGTCAGACGTCCCAGCCATCGGCATCGACCTGGGCACCACGTACTCGTGCGTGGGAGTCTTTCAACACGGTCGCGTCGAGATCATCGCCAACGATCAGGGCAATCGCACGACGCCGAGCTACGTTGCCTTCACGGACACGGAGCGGCTGATCGGCGATGCAGCCAAAGCGCAGGCGGCCATGAACCCCGAAAACACGGTGTTCGATGCCAAGAGATTGATCGGGCGCCGCTACGATGACCCCAAGATCCAAGACGACATCCGGCACTGGCCCTTCAAGGTTGAAAACGACGGAGGCAAGCCCAAGATCAGCGTCGAGTTCAAGGGCGAGCGAAAACGTTTCAACCCGGAGGAGATCAGCGCCATGGTTTTGACCAAGATGAAGGAGACGGCCGAGGCGTACCTGGGAAAGAAGGTGAGCGACGCTGTCATCACGGTGCCCGCTTACTTCAACGATTCTCAGAGGCAGGCGACGAAAGATGCCGGTGCTATCGCTGGTCTCAACGTGCTGCGCATCATCAATGAACCTACTGCAGCCGCGCTTGCCTATGGCCTCGATAAGAACCTGCGCGGAGAGAAGAACGTCCTCATCTTTGATCTCGGTGGAGGCACCTTCGATGTGTCCGTGCTGACCATCGACGAGGGTTCCATGTTCGAAGTGCGCTCCACGGCAGGTGACACGCATCTCGGAGGTGAAGATTTTGACAACCGAATGGTGGAGCACTTCGTGCAAGAGTTCAAGCGGAAACACCGCAAGGACCTCAGGGTGAATCCTCGGGCCGTGCGAAGACTCCGCACTGCCTGTGAGCGCGCCAAGAGGACACTCTCGAGTTCTGCCGAGGCGAGCATTGAGATCGACGCGCTGTTCGAAGGCGTCGACTTCTACAGCAAGATCACCCGGGCCAGGTTCGAAGAGCTCTGCATGGACCTGTTCCGGAGCACATTGGAGCCTGTAGAGCGAGCACTTCGCGATGCCAAGATGGACAAATCGCAGATCCACGACGTCGTACTCGTGGGCGGTTCTACACGAATCCCCAAGGTGCAGAAGCTGCTCAAGGAGTTCTTCAACGGCAAAGAACTTTCCATGGGCATCAATCCAGACGAGGCTGTTGCATACGGCGCTGCGGTTCAAGCTGCCGTGTTGAGCGGAGATTCGAGCGACAGCATCCGTGACGTTCTACTGGTTGACGTGGCGCCGCTGTCGTTAGGCATCGAGACGGCGGGCGGGGTCATGACCCGCATTGTGGAGCGCAACTCACGCATTCCATGCAAGACGTCGCAGACGTTCACCACTTACTCCGACAACCAACCTGCCGTTACCATCCAGGTTTACGAAGGTGAACGTGCCCTCACCAAAGACAACCACCTTCTGGGAACATTCAACCTCAACGGCATTCCACCAGCGCCCAGGGGGGTTCCACAGATAGAAGTCACCTTCGATATGGACGCCAACGGCATCTTGCAAGTCTCGGCCAAAGACAAAAGCACTGGCAAGCAAGAATGCATCCGCATCACCAATGACAAGGGCCGTCTCTCCAAGGAGGAGATTGACCGAATGCTTGCCGAGGCTGAGAAGTTCAAGCAGGAAGACGACGTACAGCGCGAGAGGGTGGCTGCCAGAAACAACCTCGAGTCCTACGTCTATGGAGTGAAACAAGCAACTGAGGAAGCTGGCGAGAAGCTGTCATCCTCAGAGAAGGACTCTGTGCTGACAAAGTGCCGGGAAACCATCTCATGGATTGACGGAAACAGTCTGGCTGAAAAAGAAGAGTATGAGCATCGTCTCAAGGAGCTTCAACAGGCTTGCATGCCCATCATGAGCAAGATGCACCAGCCTCAAGGGCAAAAGCATGGGTCAACGCCTTACCAAGCTGGGCCAACTGTTGAAGAAGTGGACTGAGTAAAAAGTAGTGACATAGGTTATTTAATTTCATTGTAAGATACCCATCTTGTCACCTATTTATATTGACATAAACATGCTATAAATACTTAACACGCTACAAATACTTTTTCACTCATACACCTCAATAAAGAGATGGATTTTTTTTTTTTTGAAACTTTGTGTCTTGTGTGATTGGAAAGGCAATGCGACAGTTTTGCTTAAATGACTGTTGCTTGCTGCCCTGTGCCATGCTTGCACTATCACACGACATATACTGAAACTAGAGTGTGAGTAAGTGGTCACTCCATTTTTTTTAGCCACACACAGTACCAGCTGCATTCAATGAATGCCGCTTCAAGGTGAGTATGTACATTGTATTACAGAACTAGATGTGTTTAAAGGTTTCTTTGATATCAGGTACAGATATATTTAGTTGGAAATCACTAGTCGTAATTTAGTGCCTGCAAACTGTTAAAATACCTGCTTTGGTTGAAGTAATGTGGATACATGTCAATGATAAGAAGTCTAAGTTGTGCTGAAACATGCATTGCCTTTCGAAAAAAGCATTGCATTACCGCGAAAAAACATAGGCAAGTTTAGGCTGCAGTCATTTGATAAACTTAAAAAGTGTAACATTGGAAGAAAGGTTACTCTTACTTTGTCCATAATGGAAGCTTTGGGGCTTCTCATTTTTTTTAATTTGCGATGGGAATCTTGCTGCATTAATGTCCTGAAGCGTGCATTTGCATGAACTGCTATAACCACTTCAGAAACGCATACAGGCCTACTAACATTATTCAAAACAGACTGAACGTTCCAAGCAATGTAAACAAGTTGCTTCATTGACAATATTGAAGCCCGGGTTTTATTTTTGCACTAGAGCTTGGTTGACGCACGTTACTTTACCGTTAAAGCACTACGATACGGCATGCTAAGTATGCTAAATACGTGGAGTTTCTTGTAATGCTGTATCATAATGGTGTCCGATGACCAGAAATGTTGCAACATTTATGCAACTCGGAATCACTTGTACACGCTGGTAGTAAGGCAAGAATGGTGTAGAGGTCATGTACAGAAAAGGGTCCTGTAGTGGAAATATTACTAATTACAACATGCTGTTTATAATTACAATAATGAATGAAACAAACAGCAATGTCTTACATATAATTTACAATCATAAAATGCCGTTCCATGGCATAAATGATTAAAATACAGCTGTCAAATTTAATGGCCAAGTGCAGGCTTTGCAAATCTAAAATTATGCTGCTTATGAAACCCATCATCGACCTACAAAGACTATCATATAGATGTACTGTGTATAGAGATCATCTGATGCATTCTTGTGAAACCTCATATTTTGGCTGTTGAGCACTAGAGGAAGGTACGTAGCTGTAGTGAGTGACGGCGATCGTAAGGTGGTTGACTTTTTACTTACTGCCTCAAACCTTCACAAGCCTTGTTCAATTGTAGGCTCTGCGTAGGTGATCTGTTCAGGATAAGATTATAGTAAGAGTCCGAGCATTAACTCATTTAAGTCTCCCGCATGCATAAAGTACTTATATTAAGAGAATAGCACTTTGGGGACCTGGCATCTCGTCCATTCATAGATCTTATGTGGCATGATCATGCTGAAAATGAAATGGTCGATACAGGCCTAAAACAAACCTATATAGCACTGAAAAGCAGGTTAAAATAAATTAACCATGTCTAACGTAATATCAGACAACAAATAACCAAGTAATCCAAATATTTTTTTCACTTAAGATAGCTAAAAACACTGTGAATGAAGGAAGCCTGCATGTGGAAGCCTGCACACAGCACAAGATTGGGTGCCACCACCTCGCCAGGCATGATTGCTCATCCCACTGTCGCTTCTTCAGCACTGGTGTTACACAAAGTTTTGCGAGAGATTATTCGTAGACCGGCTAATGAATGT